TTAAATATTTATTTATTTTTATTTATTACATTTATTGTGTGTGTGTGTGTGTGTGTGGCCAGCTCAGCCCACCAGGGGGCGGGTCTGGCTGGCATGTGGTGCTGGGGATTGAACCGCGGTCCCTGTGCTTTGCCAAGCTTGTTTCAAGTAGGTGCTTTAGACCACTGAGCCATCTCTCCAGCCCCCTTTAAGTTGTTTTTTGTTGTTGTTTTTTTTTTAGATTTCTGGAAGAGCTGTATAATAGTAAAGATAGTTTACACAGAGGTACACAGGTGCCAGGGAGATGGCTCAGTAGAATATGCAAGCGCAAGGGCCTGAGTTCAATCCATGGTTCCGCCAAAAAAAAAAAAAAAAAAAAAAAAAAAGAGCAACTAGGTCAAAATGTTTCAATGCACTGACTGCTTTTATGTTACTATTTGTTTTTTCTTGCAAGATGAATTACTGTAATAACTGTAGCTGTTAAACAGGCAATGGAATCCACCCAAAGAGCTTAACAACACTACTTAATTCCTTACAGACCCTCTGCTGGCCAGAAATGGGCAGATTTCTGCCCTCTGATCCCATCTCTGTTGTTAATCCTTTCCGGGTTTTCCTTTATGGACCAAACGTTACCTCTTCCATTTTCCACATCATTTTTTTTCTAAAATAGCCTTACCGCTCACTGCCCATCCTCTTCATTCCACCACCCGCCCTGGTGGAACCGGGGTTTGAACTCAGACCCTTGCGCCTGTGAGGGAAGCGCGTATCCCACTGAGCCACCTCCCCAGCCCCATCCCCTTCACTCTTGCTTTGTCTTCATTGTGTTGGCCACTATTTGAAATTACACAGATTAATTTAAATGCCTTGTCTCCTTCAGTACTGTGTAAGCTCCAACAAGGAAAAAACTTATTTATCACATGTTGTGTCCCTAGAGCTCAGAAACTACCATATAAAAGGGGTTCGATGAACAGTCATCAACTGAAAAGACCGTCTCGCTATCGCCGTAGGGACTCTTTACTAGGCGGCGGATGATTACTACACAGAATCGTCTCACACACATGCGCAAAAGATTCGGGAAGTGTTAAGGAAGGGAGGCGGAGCCTCAGGAAGAGACTCCGAGGACACAGGTAGTTGGAGTTTGCATTGTGAGGTGGAGGCAGGGCTTGATGCAGGAGGCGCATGCGTAGTCCCGCTGCCAGCCCGCCCCAGGCCAAAGTTTTGGACAACCGAAAAACCGGTAGGTGGTTACTTTGCGCATGCGCTGTGCGTGTTTCAGGACTGCGTGTGTGAGCGTGATTCGCGCAGCGCCTGCGCAGTGCAGACGGCGGAGGGATTTCAGGTTAGTCTCCACCCCCTGTTTCCGTCGCGAGCAGAGGCCGCGCGGGTTGGTGAGCGGTGGCCTTGTGCGCGCGCTGGGCGTCAGACAGAGGAAGACCAACGCGGACGCCGCGGGAGTCGGATCTGAAGGAGTCCTAGTTGCTGTGGGGCCGCCGCAACTGCCGCGAGCCCCAGGACCAACGCCAGGCCGAAGAGGGCGCCGCGCGGCGGGTATGATAGAATGGCCTTAAGGGGCACAAGGCCGCTACCCACAAACCTCTGCGATGGATCCCAGTCGATTTCCCCGCGGCCGGGGTTCTTCCTGCGACCCCGCCTCACCAACCTTTCTGCTCTCCTCTCCCAGGGTCTACTGTAGTTCTTCCCCCCCCCCCCAGAGTCCACTCCCGGCACCCGCAGGCCGCTACCCACATGCCCTTGCGGTGTTGCCTTTTTTCTTTCTGTGGCGTGCTAGACCCTTACCCAGAATCCTTTTCGCATTTGGGAGCTCAGTCTATTACCCACAAATCTCTGACTTGGGTTTTCGCTTTTCCTAATTCCTGCTCTCACCTTTCCTGCCCACAGCCCTTCCCCCCCCCCTATAATTTTTTCTCCAGTGTGCTGGACCCCCAGCCACGTCTGCTCTGGGCTTCCCTCCTGGAACTTACTGAGCCCCTCCAGGACTTTGGAACCTCTCAGCCCCACATGCTGGTTCAGGACTCTTGACACTTCGCTACTCAGAAACTTCGTTTAAGTCTTTGTTTCATTTTTTAGCCTTTGTTTCCTGCAGCCACGGAGAGCTTTTCATTCAGTTTTATCTCTTGTTCCATAACTTAGATGGTTACAGACCTTGTTAGTACTGAGACATCTGTATTTTCCTTTTTCTCTACTGACTCACTGTAACATAAGGGTTTTTTTTTTTTTGGCTTCTGCTTTTAGATTTGGCAAGATGACCCAGTTCCTGCCACCCAACCTTCTAGCTCTCTTTGCCCCCCGTGACCCTATACCATACCTGCCACCCCTGGAGAAACTGCCACATGAAAAGCACCACAATCAACCTTACTGTGGCATTGCACCATACATCCGAGAATTTGAGGTAAGTTCACTCATTAGGAGATTTGCCTCTGGAAGGCAGGGCCTGTCTGTGTTCATCAACCCCTCTTCTGGCCATTTCTGTGATTTAGACAGGTCACTCTTTCAGGTCCTCAGTTTTCTGCCTTAAGTGAGGTTGATAACATCTCCTGAGTTTTTTATAAGTAGTGACTGAGCACTGGGGCTTTGGCACCGGTCAGGTAGTCCTTAGCCCATACCATTTGGTATGTTTGACCTTTGGTAAATGTCTTTTTTTTTTTTTTCCTGAAGGATTGAACCCAGAACCTTCACACACTTGAGCCACATCTCTAGCCCTTCTGTTTTTGTTTTTTATTTTGAGACAGGATCTTGCTAAGTTGCCCATGCTGGGCTCAAACTTGTGAAACTTCTTTCTCAACCTCCCAGAGTGCTGGGACGACAGGTATGTGCCACATGCCTGGCTCCATTTTTTAAAGTTAATTTTATTGGTACATTTTAGATATACATAACGATCATATTTATCAAAGGGAATTTGTACTTCTATGTTTTTTTGAGACAGGGTCTTGCTATCTGGCCTTGAGCCCATTTTGTAGCCCAGGCTGGTCTTGAACTTGCAATGTTCCTCTTGCCTCAGCCTCCTGAGTACTTAGATTATAAGTGTATGCCACCTTGCCCAACACATAGTATGTCTTTTTTCTTTCTTTTTTTTAAATGTATTTGGTACAGGGTCTCACTATGCAGTTTGGACTCAGTGGTCCTGTTTTCATCCTCCACTGCTGGAATTACAGGCGTTTGCCACCATGCCTGGTCTCGGTGCTTGGCTCAGCACACCTGCAGGAGCGGGCAGGGCTGCCTCGGCATGTGGTGCCAAGGATTGAACGCCTGTTCCTGTGTTTGCCAGGCAGGCGCTTAGTCTGCTGAGCAATCTCTCTGGCCCCACATAATATGTCTTGATTTTTCTTTTTTATCCAACCCTCTCTCTTTCACAGACTCCATTTTTTGTCATTAATGGGATGATATTCGAAAAGGCTTTATACCCTGTACTGGAATGCTTTAAGCTGTGATCTTGGGGATTTCAGCTGTACTTGCAAGTTATACATGAATAAAATAGATTCCTGGATTTCAGTTCTTTTCATTAAAAAAATTGGGATAACCACATCCATCATTGGTGCATGCCTGAAAAATGCCCACAGCCAGAGCTCAGAAGGAACGGTTCAGCATTAGGTAGGAAAACAGCTAGAGGTGAAGAAGTTGGGAGTGGCAGAGTGGAATGTAGTAGTTAACAGGAAGGTGGCTCTTTACTGTGTTTTGCCACCCTTGGTGAACATGCACTTGAAAAATGTTATTAGCCACTTCAGTGGGTCTAATGGGCATGGGCCAGTGACACCTATGATGGTGTGAATCATGAGGCAGTTACTATTTACTGTGGTGGATGAGACCTTTCAGACCTGCCATGGCCTGCAGAGTGTCCAGTTGTCTGCTTCAGAGCCCTGTGCAATCAGCTCTTGTTGCCTCAGACCTGGGAAAAGGTTCCTATCATGCCCTCTGGCACTTTGTTCTCTATGAACTATCCCTGTGGCTGTGAGAAGCACTGCATTCTCTATAAATATTGGAGACAAAAACCTTTGGTACTGTGTCAAGTTCTGTCACCTGTGCTGGCATTTCTCAGATTGTCTGTGGTGAAGGTGCATTTCACTGTAGAAGGCTACTTTTGAAAATATTGTATAATTTTTTTATTTTTTTTTTTTTTTGAGGCAGGGTCTCATTATGTAGTTCAGCTGGCTTTGAACTCACTGTGTAGCCCAAATTGACTTTGAACTTACAGATCTTCCTGCCTCAGCTTGAGTGCCAGAATTACAGGTGCACACCACTGTGGCTG